TGGTTTGTGGACACTCTTGTTTTTTGAGGTTTTCAAGCCTCCCGTGACGCGGGGGTTGGGGAGTTGAGTTGTGATGTTGCCTAGCGTTCATATATTGTTACGGTCTTACGGACCGACCCTGGTGTAATTATTTAGATGCAGCTGCTCCTGTTTGTTCTGATCTTTTGGGGGGGGGGATCAGAGCTTGGGCTCAATTAATTACGAAAGTAGTGTTCGAAAGTTGGTATTATGTATTTTCCTTCTCCATCTCAAAAAATTACATAACACATTTTTCCTCATACTGTTTTTTCTGGTTCATTCCCCAATTATATGTGACAAATGTGACTATGATTAATCTGAACGTGTACGTGTGTGTGTGTGTATGTATATTTTAAGATTGTTCCCCCTGCTCTATTTACCATCAAATATTAAAATGTCTAGCCAATGTCAAGTTCGTTCCCTGTTGCATGATTGAAAAGAATTTCAAAACATCTGAAGGGAGGGAATCAAGGGATTACCTTCTGCCTCCTTTGTCCCTAGGCTTTCTTTGGGTTTCTAAAAAGTTTGCGTTCCTAAGATTTTACGGATTCCAACGTTCTTCATTCTTGGTCTTAAATTGCACACCTTATTGTTCCTTTTTCTTTTTGCAGGAGAAAGGTTCTAATGAAATTGTCTTTAAGGCGATGGGCAGAGCTATCAACAAAACTGTAACAATTGTGGAATTGATCAAGGTTTGTTTGGCTTTATCACTCGCTAGGCATACAGTTGTGGTACTTTGTCTCATCATTATGAAAATTTTTTATTTATTTATTTTTGTGGCTGTGCAGAGGAGAATTGTGGGTCTTCATCAAAATACTGCAATTGGATCCACTGACATTACTGATACATGGGAGCCACTGGAGGAAGGCTTGCTTCCGTAATATCCATTTCTGAATAGAATTTTAAACTACGTGCCATAATGGCAAAGTCCAAATCACGCAAGCAACTGCTGTTGGAACCTGCTGATTTGCTGCTTTTTTTCTTTTTGTTTTTGTGTCTCTCTTGCAGTTTGGAGACCACGAGGCATGTGTCAATGATTACAATAACCCTTTCCAAGAAAGAACTTGATACATCCTCTGTGGGGTAAGTCTGAGCTTTACCCTTTCTAATTTCATAAAACCAAAAAAAAGAAAAAGTTCTTCTCTCAGGTTTCTAATCTTTTTTTACATATATTTTATTTTTTAAACATCGTAGCTAACTTCTAGTGCTATTGTATTTCTCTTCTAATATTTAGTTGGGTGCTCAATAAAATTCTGAATGTGCGAGTGCAATTTTTAGTTGTATTATCAATAGATGACTTATGTTTTGTTTCTTTGAATTGCGTATTTTAAACGGATTAGAACCCCTTGGGTCAAATTAGTTGTAAAAAAATTCTGGAAATTTGATGTATAAATAAGAAATAATAATTAACTATTGTGGTAATGTTTGACGTACAAATTAAACATTAAACCATATTAATCCCTATAAGACGGCCAAGAATTGCAGTTATCAAGTGATAAATACTATTCTATTTTTCAAGATAATGACTAATCGTCTAGATAATATCCTCGAAAGTGAATGATCCCTATTACTTGTGACTTATGATTTATTGGCCTGGGATTTACGGCTTTCCTAAGCTTAAGATAACCTTGTTTTCAAGTACTTGTGACAACTATGCAGTATTGGGTGGGGTAGGCTTTTATGCTGTACATCTATAATTCTATATTATATCTAGTGTATGCAAGGTGCCTCTGAGGTGAGCACATTGCATCCGCAAGAAAGATTCTGAAGGCACATTCCCAGGCTATAACCTCCTAGGAGGTTCCTTGCCTGAACTAGAAAGGCATTGAGCAGGGCCCTCTGCTACTCTATGTGATTTCATTGATGTAAACTAACTTGTATATGTCCAACTGACTTTTTAAAACTGCAAATTCTTTTTGCAGCTGAGAAAACGTAACAAGAAAAAGAATAGAAATATACGGAAGAATATATAGATGTCCTACTAGAGGTTCTTACTTTTACGCACTGAATGTAATGTTTTAAAGTTTGTATTGAATTGAATCGAACTGTATTAGATACCTGTGATAGTTTTGAATGACACTGGGTAATAATTACAAATTGGACAATCATAATCATAAGTAGTGGAAACATCAGAAATTTTGGCTTTGCTGATTATTTAAGATGATATATCTTCTAATTGTATCAGTTGAGCTGGTTTCAAGAAATTAGATTTTGTTCTTGTGAACTATGAGGATCGTTGGACTCATTATCTGCTGTTCCTTCAGGTATCAGCCTCCATTGCCAGCAGACCTGGTGAAGGCACCTATTGATTTTGATTATGAAGGAGGTAGGAAACATGATTAGTGACTCTGTTCCCCTGAAATTTTGCATTTTATGTATAATCCTAACTTTGTTTTCAGCAGAGGCTTCACCTAATGGGCGAGGTCGGGGGCGTGGTGGCAGAGGAAGGGGAAAGGCCAGAGGTATAGACATTACATAATTCTGTTTAATAGTGGGGTGCAATTTGTGTATGATGTTGAGTGTTGACAAAATACTAGAACTACTTTTGAGGCTGGGAGTCTTTCTTCTTTCAGCAAATGGTTTTATATCAACTGATTATGAAGATGGAGGTTGGGATCGCAATAGGGGAAATGTTAGGGGCAGGGGTAGAGGAAGAGGACGTGGCTTCCGTGGTCGTGGAAGGGGTGGGTACAATGATTCCCTCGTTGACATGCAGCAAGATGGAGGATACATCCAAGATGCGCCTTTTCAAGGCCGCGGTTGGTTTTCTTATCCTTGCTCCCAGATTTTTCCTTTTTCTGCAGGCGGTTAAGTTTGTGTTTATGATGCTATTGGTTTCTTGTAATGTTGTACCATTTATTAGTAGGACGCAATGTTTTCTGTTTTAATTGTTGCTTTAATAAATTTTGTGGTAAAACTGAGTGGATTGGCCAGACAAGCTATTAATTTTATTGGCTGAATGCCTGTGCCACTGCTCAACTATTTGCGATGTCAAAGTTATTTCAGCATGTTTAATGTATTGTAAACTCTAGCTGGGGCTAGAAGCAAATGAGAGAGGAAGAAGAGAAGGAAAGAAGAAATAAAGTGCTATGCCTAATCTGCCATTGGTTGCTTTTTGCAGGTCGAGGCCGTGGCAGGGGAGGATATCGTGGGAGGGGTCGTGGCTTCAGATCCAATGGGCCGATCCAGGCAGCTGCTTGAGGCAATCAATGGGTGACATTGAGTGAAGTTTGCCTGATCTGGTTTGATGTTATCTTACTTTAATCCCCTGGTTCTTGAAGAACTGTAGGCATTTTCTAAAGTTTTTGTAGACTAGCTCAAAACGACTGCCTCATAAAGGGTTTTTATAGTTTCTGTAGTCTAGTTTGAAACTGCTGTCTCATAAAGGCAGCCCCGTTGACGTTGAAGACGTAGGTCAGATATTTGAACAGTTGTAGTTCTGTTTCGTTCCTGACTCTCATTCTTTAATTTAATTTCCCACAGATTTGTCGAATTAATCTTGGCCCAATTAGTGGCCGGATATTTTTCTTGTTTTTCGTTCTGTTAATGGAAGGAAACTTGCGTTGTTGGGTGGATTGCTTGTTTTGACTCATTAGTCACCATTTTAGTTAAATGTTTTCCTGAAGATGTATTAGTTCAGGTAACACGTCGTCTGTGAATGAGCAACGGATCTGAAAATCTTCCATCAAGAAGGATATCTGAAGAAGATTTATCTTCTTGGGTTCTAGATTGTATAAATATGGAACCTATGGTTTTATTCTATTTATTTATTTATTTTGGATGTTTTCGGCCTCTTTTATTGGGTTTAGATGGCACGGCAAGTGATATCTTACATACTTTGAACATCTATTTTACTGTTCATAGCTTGAAAATTTTCTTATGTTTGTACTTCAAGGGTAACCTTGCTCATCCTTTTTCGAAAAAATAGAAGTTAAACGCTTGAAACTGCGGGGGAATATCGAGGGAATAATGATAAATTTGTATGGAAAGTTTTAAGAAAATGCAAGGAATCAGAGAATTATAGAGTTTATTGAATTCAATATCAATTTTATATTTAGTGTTTCAAATAGTTCTTGTGCCTTGGTAATGAGTATTGTCAAGTTATTATACCTAAAGTATTGAACCCTTGTTATTTTACCCCAAAAAAAAAAGTATTGAACCCTTATTACGTAGCGTGAATTTAGCCGTGTGCGCCTGAGAAATTGTAAGATATGCCACGACTGGGCTGTGGAAAGTGTTTTGTTCAGGGTACAGGTATGTATTTTCATTTCTGGAACCACCCCTGACCGAAGACACAATGGAAAATTAGGAAGATAAACTGTAGGATATTAATTTCAAAATATAATTATGTTAATGCTTATTATGAATTGTGATTTTGATGCATAAATTTTTAAACGCTTGGAAAAATATTCTCTAAAACTGATATCCATTGACAATTGAAAATGTGATAAAATATTTTTAAAAATATAATTTATTTTTTTAATGATAAAGCTTCTTTAAATTTGAAAACATAACAACTTTTCTTTATTAAAAAGGAGTATGATAATCATGCAGTTAAATCTAAATAAAAAGAATTTTCTGATATTTTAAAATTAAAGTGTTAAAATTATATTTAGTTTGTGAAACAGTTTTTTTTGGGTGCAAAATTAGAATATCTGGAAGGAAATTTTCATCAGATATGTAATAAGTAGGGGAGTTCATATTGTGTTTTCTTTAGCCTTTAACGGTATTATTCCTATGGTAGAACCAAGATCAACTAAATCATCATTAAAATAATATAGTTTAATTGTATAAAAAATAATATAATTTAATTAGAAATATATTATATACTGATTTATTTTTAATTCAAGATTCGTTATTTAAAGAAAGGGAGCGAAAAAAAAAATTACATGATTCAATTCATTTCATGACATCCGTCCAACATCAAACCTCTAGATTGATTCACTGTTTCAGACAAATTTTTGCCTCATTTTTCAAGGGGTGATTGTTTTGGTTGGGTTTTGGCTCAAGCTGGAAAGCTAGAGCATTTGGAGAAAACTTGAGAAGTGTGTTCAATTTCGATATTTTTCACGCTGGCTTGTAGAGAAAGAAAAGAATGTTACATTGAATCGGAAGGAGCAGTACAGTGACGGAGAAAGTTGCTGAAGGTCTGGAACCCTAAACAGCTTCTCTTCAGCTGACTCGATCTGGACTTGTGAGTTGCTCTTAGTTCAATTCTCCTTCCTTCTTCTATTGATTCACTTCAATCATCCTTTTGAGTTTACAGTAAGAGTTTTTTGTTTTTCTTTTCAATGCTCTGAGAAACTCCAGGGAAATAAAGGTGGCAGGAGGCGATTTCGTTGATATTTTCTCAAAATGACTCAAGATGTTGAGATGCAAGATCACACAACTCCTTCGCATTCCGTCTCTTCAGCTGTTCCATCTACTTTGCAGCGTATGAATCTCTTCGTCAGATTACTCAGAGCGATTTTACATTTCGACTCGACGTGTTTTATTTATCCTGAAAATTCTTTTTCCCCTCTTTGGACTTTGGCGCTTCAGATTTAAAGGAGATAGCGTCACTCATTGAGACCGGTTCGTACTCTAAGGAAGTTCGTAGAATTGCTCGTGCTGTTCGCCTTACAATTGCGTTGAGGCGCAAATTGACAGCATCGGCGCTCTTATCCTTTATCGATTATGTTGCTTGTCCGGGTTCTGAACCTCACGCCAGATTCTCTGCCTATCTTCCCGAGGTCAATATGCACATCTTTTACTTTGTGTTAGATTCAGGGACGATGCGTCTGAGAAATCTTTTAGCCATCTGTCGTTATATTTTGGTATCTTCACATGAGATTTAGTATCTCTGTCCTCCAAAGGCGGGGGAAAATAAAGCAATGAGTGAGATGAAGACGTCTCATCATTTTTTTCGCCCTTGCAAATTTGGTAATGGTCAGAATTAGAAACTTCTACTATCCAAAGTGGCAGTGGTGATTTCCTTGCTTTCAGATTCTAAATGAAATCTTTCTACCAAGACTATATCATGATTAAATTGCATTAGGTAGCATGCCTCTAGATAATTCGTTAGGTAGCATTTTTCTCATATGCCTACGGGGTGACTCTGACAGAGAATCCTTGACTCGGTTTAATTTTATTAAGGAGGCTAACTCCCTTTCCATGATACGTCTCGTGAGGTAGAAATTGGCTCCTATTAATACTACTTCCGTTTCAAGTTATATGTATGTGCCTTGCCTTTAGTAATGGCCATGTAAATTCTATTCTAATAGTAATCTTGTATTTTATGACTCTATCAAATGGTTTTGTTGGGTGTTAGGCTATCTTTATTTGCTTCGGTATGATGTAAGAACATTTTTTTAATCCACTGCAAATGTGTTGAAAGGAGAAGTAATTTTTTGGTTAATTGATTTAAGAATAAGAACTTCTAGAAGGATTATTGTGTTTTACCCCCTCTTCTCCTCTCTTCCGGGTAAATATTATTCTTTTTACTTCTACGTTTTGATAGATACAACGTTCTTCTATTTATAATGTCTTTATAGGAAGATTGTCATCAGATGGAAGTAGATAATGCAACACCTACTGTTCAATCCTCAGCTAAGCACTTATTGCCCGAGATGGAGATGTACTGTTACTTGGTCATACTACTTTTTCTGATTGATCAGAAGAGATATAAGGAGGTTGGGTCCCATACTCGTGCTCATTTTTTTTAATAAAAATATTTACTACTACTGATTGAATGCTGAAGTTGCTTTTATCTATTTATTTATATTTTTTTAGGCCAAAGTTTGTTCCTCAGGAAGCATTGCCCGGGTGAAGAGCCTTAACAGAAGGACTGTTGATGTTATTGCGTCCAGATTGTACTTCTATTATTCATATATCTATGAACTCACAGGAGATCTTGCAGAAATTCGGGGGTAAGTAAGATGCTTATATGTGTAATCCACAAATCAAATGCTGAGGTAGATGGCTAGATTTTTTTAATTTTTTTTTGGATTTAAATTCAGTAAGAGGTGGTAAGATTTTATCTTATGCTCTAAACTATAAGAATCAAAACGTTCCATTTTATTAATTCTTGTGATTTACAAATTGGCAACTGGGATGGACTTATGACGTTCTATTGAATTTTCCTCTTATTAAATCCAACTCTGGTTTGATTTTGCTCATAAGTAAAGGAAATTAGTATACAAAATTGAATGAGTTTTATCTTGTTCCAAACTAAATTGCCTTTCTATTTTCAGTAACCTTCTTGCATTGCACCGGATTGCCACCCTTCGCCATGATGAGCTTGGTCAGGTTTGTTTCAGATGATTATAGGTTCTTTCACAAGGCTTAAGATCTTGTACTAACATGATGATGGGATGCAGGAAACACTTCTTAATTTGTTGCTCCGTAACTATCTCCACTACAATTTATATGATCAGGCGGAGAAGTTGAGATCTAAGGCGCCCCAGTTTGAGGCACATTCAAACCAGCAAGTATGATGGTCTTGTTATTGTAGTTACCACTTACGGATTTCTTATCTTTCATTAATGCAATATCAGTCTTTCAATGTCTGTGCTGAGAACTCTTTTCTAACTATTCCTGCATGGTCAGCCTTTTTAATGATTTTGATTTTGTGTGTTCATGTGGTCTAACTGTTTTTTTTTTTTTTGGGGGAGTTCTAAAAATCTTTGTTTTCTTATATTCATATTTCATTAACATTTTCACTCCTGCTGCATCTTGTTTCAAGTTCTGTCGATATCTCTTCTACCTTGGGAAAATTCGGACAATTCAGTTGGAGTACACTGATGCAAAAGAGTCCCTCTTGCAAGCTGCTCGAAAAGCTCCGGTTGCAGCACTTGGTTTTCGAATTCAGTGTAATAAGTGGGCTGTGATAGTGCGTTTGTTGTTGGGAGAAATACCTGAGAGGACCATCTTCATGCAGAAAGGAATGGAGAAAGCTTTGAGACCTTACTTTGAGCTTACAAATGTGAGATAACATGGTTAACTGAAGTTAGTTTTTACAGTATCTATGTGCTTCTTATATCATCGTTTTAATCTCCTTCCTCTTCATCGCTGTTTTTATAATGAGAAGTCTATCAAACCTCTGTAAGATGTAACTGGTGCTACCTCTGCTTTTTGGGGTTTGCCTGTGATATTTCATTTTAAATGTTGGGTTTATGAAATGAATGAAATATCTTCCAAAAATTATCTCTCTTCTGGTTACTGTGCTCAAGTATTAAATGAACAATTATTTATCATTATTTATGTGCTTCTGAGTTTGTAAAAAAAGTTATTGGATAATTGATTACTTATTAGAAGCCAGAGCAATGGTGGTCTTAGTCATCAAATTGTGATGAATTCTGCTGATGAGGAAGTTGGTTGGTTTGTCTTTTTATAAGTCATATAGATCTCTGTTTCAAACTTTGAAACTTAAATCCAAATCAAAAACTCTGTTTCATTCATTAGGTTGAGCAAAAATCTTTGGTAGAGTTAAGTGTTTACTATCTGGTTTTTCAATCAAAATATAACATGGATTAACTTCGTTGAATATCGAACAATTCTATGCATCTGTTCTCACAATATATATATATATATATATATATTCATTTGTAGTTTTTTACATTGTAGAACTCTGTAGCAAACATCTGAGCGACTTTTCTACATCTAATTGAGCAATAATCTTATAAATGTTTGTGTGTGATTTTCTTGGCTTGTGTTTTTTCTTCCTTAGTCGATTCATTATCACCCATCATGTAGTTAATTTTGTCAATTTTTTTTTGTAATTGGCATAATCCGTCTCTGTTAGCTTATACTACCTCCGGTCTTTAATATAAGACTTTGTTTAACTTTTATTGTGGTTCTAAATATAAAATCTCAATTCACTTTGTTCTCATATTTATTTATTATTTTTTTTCCAAAGTAGTTTTTTCAACAGCAATAATCTAGCCAATACGCTTGATTGATAATGATATTTGAGGAAAGAAACCACCTATTTATTACAAATAACTAACTTAACTTCTTTTTTTAATCTCTTCAAATTAGTCAACTAGCTTTTATAATTAGGATCAGAGGTAGTATATATTTAAAGTAAAAGGACTAAATTGGAAATTGAGTGAAACTCTAAGGACTTGTGGTAATTTGACCTGTAATACTGCATAATCTTTCTAATTAATCAAATCAACAAAAACAGCAGCAGCAGAAGCAATTAGATGGGTCGATAACAAAATTTTCATAAGTTGCAATGATTATAATTTAAATTTGTCCCAATTACTCTTTTCCCCAAATAATCCTAGGTGCAAAATATTGACATATCAGCAACTAAATTGCTGCTATACTATGCTTGAAAGACATGTTCATCTAATTGAGATTTGAGTGTTTTGTAAACTAGAGATACTAGAAGTGCAAAGGAGCTTATGTTAAAATAAGTCTCTCTCTCTCTCTCTCTCCCCCTCCCAGATGTGGTAGTGTTTAATCAGTTTTGTGGAATTTCAGGCTGTTCGAATTGGAGACCTGGAGCTATTTAGGAATGTTGCGGACAAGTTTGCTGCTACTTTCAGTGCTGATGGAACTCATAATTTGATTGTTAGGTTGCGTCATAATGTCATCAGGACTGGTTTACGAAACATAAGCATTTCTTATTCACGTATCTCGCTTGCTGATGTGGCACAAAAATTGAGGTTAAACTCTGCAAACCCCATCGCAGATGCTGAGAGCATTGTAGCCAAGGCCATCAGAGATGGTGCAATTGATGCTACTTTGGACCATCGTAATGGGTGGATGGTATCGAAGGAAACTGGAGATGTATACTCCACTACTGAGCCTCAATTGGCTTTTAATACTCGTATTGCCTTCTGCCTTAACATGCATAATGAGGCCATCCGGGCACTGCGTTTCCCGCCAAACACACACAATGAGAAGGAAAGCGCTGAAAAGCGCAGAGAGAGGCAGCAGCAGGAGCAAGAATTAGCTAAGCACATTCAAGAGGAGGATGATGATGATTTCTGATTTCTGATAATGACTGTTCTATTCATCTCAGTTGCGGTCATGGTCTTCATTTCTAACTCTGCTCTTATTTCTCCTTTGGATGACGTCCATAACATTTTTCATAACATGGAAGGTGGAATTCTTTTTCTTGATTGATCACTGTTTGCTTCCATTTATTGTGATAAACTTATCTCTGAAACTTATTCAATTTGCCTTGGTCTTGTGGCATTATTGAGATTTAATAGATTTCAAGGAGGCATAATGAGAATAACAAGTTGAGAACGAGTTTTGCAAGGGTATTTTTCTTTAATATTGATACGATAAGAGTGTGGATCTATCTCCTAGATTAATAAGTCAGGATTCTTTGATGGCCAAGTTTCAGGTAGAGATTTCAGCCTAATCTAGCGGCTAACATGCTACTTTCCTTGATCAAGTACCTTTCTGTTTCAAATGAAACATTGATACCTAAATAAATGGAAAAGAAAAGGTGCTGTGGTCGCTTAAAGTACAAGTTGTGTTTTCCTTGTTTTAAAATTATCATGTTACTGCATTAAATAGTTAGGACTTCGGAGAGAAGCATGACCAGCTCTCTAGAATGTATCATTATCATCTTCAATCGACGCGATATTGGAAGTAGTGCTGCTAATATTCATGGTCCAGAGGCATTCATGAAAGAATTCAAATTTTAGTTTTCAGTATTGGTGACATCTGCATCTTTCAATTGGAGAGTTAGCGATGTGATCCTTTGCGGGCCATGTGAATGTTGTTTGGGACATCTTGCAGGCTTGCACACAGATTAAGAATAGTTGGATTGCTTTATCTGTTTAGAGATTATTTCAATGAAAAAAAGAGTTTGGATTTGGCAGGAAGAGCTAGTTCTTAAATAAAATTGCTTTAATAGCAAGATACTTATGCCTAATTAAAATCTATTTCAATATTTCAATCATACCCTTGTTAATTATGATGATATAAGTATCAACCACCTTCATAATCTCACAGCTTCATGATTAAACACCTTATAATTTAGACCACTTTTTATTTTTGAAAGACGCCTTGTATAAAGCACTATAGGAAGTAATTAATTTAAAAGATTTACGTTTTAGTTTTATTGATTTTTTATTTTTATAATTACAAGATTAAAAATGATATCTGACTTTTCAGCACATAGAATAATAATGAGAGGAGATTAAGTACGATCATAATTATGAGAGCATGTCAATTTGCACATCAATGTAACCATACATCATTCGTCCAAAAAATGTGCAAGCCCATCTAATATGTGTTTCAAATACCAAGCATATCCCGCCGCAGCATGGTGAATCCTCGTTCCTCCACGATGAGACAGTAGAGATAAAGGGGTTTATTTGTCTTGTCCTTTTCCTTACTATACTCTTCAATTATTATTAAGTGGATCTTGATTCTCCAATAAAGGGCTCTTTGTGACAAAATGATTATTGAGGCTTGAATCTGAGTTTCTTGACGGTGCTAAAAATACATTAGAATGGCTATTTTTTAATTTGTTTATCAACGCGAGATTTGGATGAGAAGAGATGTTAAGTATTTAATCAAATAAGACAGATGAGTGCCCAACATCTTCTGCCACTTCCAATCTGTGTGAACGGTGACCTTTGCCAGCCTCCTATTCTTGAAAAATTTAGATGCCAGCCTGGTTCTCTTCGCAATCTCACATCTTTCAAACATAATTCAAAATCAATTCATCAAACGGCGATCACAGAGCTGCCACCGAAGACGCCATGAAAGTCTTGCTGCAGCAAACCGCAGCCCGTGATTAATCTAAGGCCAAAATAGGGCATCTCACATGTTGGTAACACATTAAAAATAGTTTGCTATCATATGGGGTCAAATACTCCCATGTGATCATGTATGGTACCACGATCTGTATACTATTTCTTGCTACTTATTGGCTGTCATTATAATTAATTAGCAATTGGCCTACAAACCAACAGAACTAATAGATGTAACCAAAAACAGGGGAGGGCTTTTTTTTTTTTTAAGATGAAAAAAAGTAGGGGGACCAAATGGGCTTGTGGATTTTGATACATTCACGGCTCTAATGTTGGGATGGACATGTGGGTTTGAAGGGGGTGTGATGGAAGAGAACGTGGGAATTATTGAATGAAGGTCAGAACTCTGTACAGTTTCGCAGAGATAAATTAATTTTAATCAATAAATATTGTCTCTGAGTTCTCTCCTGTTGCAGAACTCACATGTGCCCGTTGCAGCCCTTAGTGAATCTAATCTCTTATTTAAGGAGACACATTTCGTGCTTGGAAATGACAATACATGTAAATACAAGCTCAGCTTTCCTCCTCAGTCTTCCTCATTATCTGAGCAGCTGGTTCACTTGGGTGTCAGCATTAAGCAGAGCAAGGAAATGGAGAAAGCAATGGTTCTTCTGGGCAGCCTGGTGGCATTATGGTATGTCTCAATGACTGTTTCTGCCTTAGCACCTTCTGGATGGACCCAAGGACATGCCACTTTCTATGGAGGTGGCGATGCTTCAGGAACCATGGGTAAGTAAACTATGAAGTATCCATAATGATACGTTGACGAATTATTGTTAAGGATGAAATCTGAAAAATGACTGGGAGGTTGATTTCAGGAGGAGCTTGTGGATATGGAAATCTGTACGCAACAGGGTATGGAACAAGAACTGCAGCTTTAAGCACAGCCTTGTTCAATGATGGAGCTTCTTGTGGGCAGTGCTTCAAAATCATATGCGATTATAAGACAGACCCAAGATGGTGTTTGAAAGGAAGATCTGTAACTATAACTGCCACTAACTTCTGCCCTCCCAATTACGCTCTTCCAAGCAACAATGGAGGTTGGTGCAACCCACCTCTGAAGCACTTCGACATGGCTCAACCCGCTTGGGAAAAGATCGGTATTTACAGGGGAGGCATCATCCCTGTCTTGTTCCAAAGGTTATTAATTATGCTCAACACGTGTTTGCCTAGCCAGTGTTCGCTTGTTTTGAATCTTGAGAGATGAAATTAATGCCGTGTATGTTGCAGGGTTCCATGTAAGAAGCACGGAGGTGTTAGGTTCACTGTGAATGGAAGAGACTACTTTGAGTTGGTAATGATCAGTAATGTGGCAGGGGCTGGATCCATAGCTTCTGTGTCCATCAAAGGCTCAAAGACTGGGTGGATGTCTATGTCCAGAAACTGGGGAGCTAATTGGCAATCCAATGCCTATCTGAATGGTCAATCTTTGTCGTTCAAGGTCACAACCAGTGATGGAGAAACCAGGTGTTCCCAAATGTGGTTCCATCTTCTTGGAGTTTTGGCCAGACATTCTCCAGCCATATCCAGTTCTAAAGCTTACAGCTGTTATATAAATATTATATAAACTTCTTCTCTGGGTTCTGGGTTCTGGGTTCTGCATTTTCATGAACAGAACGGCAGAGGCGTGCTTATATATTATTGTATCGGAGCAGCCCGCCACCCTCTCTTTGCTTTTTTTCTCTTTTTGGTGATCTGGGTTGGTTGGTGGGATCAAACCTGTCAACTCATGAAGCTTCCGTATATGATTTATGGGTTATGTGTATTAATAACAAGAAGGCAGCTTGCAGAAACAAGCTTCTTTCTGAAGTATACCATATATTGCTGTAATATGAATACTCTTGTTATAAGTTGAGATTCTCTGGATTGTTTTACTGAAAAGTCTCTACTTTCTGATGAGTTTCAAGGGAAAATTAAAAATAGAAGTGAACTTGAAGGAATTCAGGAAAAATTCCTTTAATAAAGACCGAGAGTTAGGTGTTAATTGTGTGGAATCATATGATGATGAAAAGGAGGATGCTTGACAGCTTCCCAGGTAGATTTTAATATAACGTAAGACGTGTGTGAAATTTTTTTCAAGAAAATAATTAAAATCATCATGTTAGGTGGCTTGCTTACAGCAAAACCTTATCCACAGCTACATTACTCATTCTGAGTTCTGATTGACTCTGAGAAAGTGGAACTTGTAGCCATCAGGCTTCAGCTGCTGCGTTCAGACTTTGTCATGTCCTCTCATTCAATCTCAAGTATGGACTCCAGAAGCTATAATTTACTGCAACTTCATATTTTTCTTCTAAGGAATATAAATAATTGAATGATTGTTGTTCCAAGGAATTACACTCTGGGATTTGAAACCAGTGACAGATGGAGGAGGGAGGGACTGGTAATGTTCTATTCTTTCTTAGTGTTATATAGATGGCCTTCTCAAACTTTATACAAATTTTGTACAATATATTCTTTTTTAGCATCAATCCCTCTTATAGTTAAATTTTAATTCTGTATCTGGTAGAAACCTAATATAACTTTCAAGAATTGGCTGATGTTACCAATAAAGGATAGTAAGCCGGACCTTCCCAACTTGTGCCAAAATCCTACAATGAAGTTATTCCTATCCGTTTAGCTGATAAATACTCTTTCTGACAATTAAATCTCGATATAGATGTTTATAATCATCTAGTTAGTCCTACTTAAATGGGCCACCATGCTCTTTTTGTAATTTTTTTCGAAACAAATGATTAAAAATAAAATTAAATTAAAGACAATAAAATTGTCAAGACTGATTTGAAGCTACATTAACAAACGATTATATGTAATCCCTTTGACTGTGATTTAACAATTGATGACCTTCCTCTCATATTACGCCTTTCGTTATGAATCTTTAACAAAATACTTTTTTCAGCTCCTATTCACCCAGTTTGCATGAACATAAAAGCAAGATTTTAATGCAGGTTAAGCTAGTATGAACAAGAGAAATCATCCATTCATCACGAAATTGACTTTCCTTTTAAGAAGAAGCCTATCTTTTTCACTACCCAAATTCTGCAGATGACAGATTAGAGGAATAACATAGAGGATCGTATTGAATAGCTGCATTAATTTTAATAACACAAAGCTTACACCTATAAACCAAAACTTGAGAAACAAGAGCACAAGACCTCTAGAAGAAAGAAAGAGGACACAGACGGAGATGAAAACAGCTCTCATAGCCTAATTTCTACATTTAATCATAAGGGTAATTTAGTCAACTCATTTATTTTAATATTTTAAGGTCATAAATGTAATTGAAAGTCCTCCATGGGCGTAAATGTCATTTCGCCATTGGAAATCATGAGTATTGCTTTGGGCCTTTTAGTACTGGGCAGAAAATGTAATCCGAGAGCCCAATTGAAACTTCAGCTATTTGGGATTGGGGCTCGCAATCGCAAAGTCACAATTCAGTTGACGCCATTAGCAGCTGCGTTGGGAAGCCTTGAGCTCGTTTTGCAAGCTGCGTCTGTGTGTTATTTTAGATGTCGACGGAGGAACAGAGCATCGACGAAACTAACAGTTCAGAAAGCAGAGCCCAGGATCATGAACAGGAGGAACAAGATGAAGAGTTACGCCTCCTTCTTCTACCCGACGTGTCCAGTCTCCCCCAAACTCCACCTTCTGCCGTTGAATCCAACTTCGTCTCTTACTTTGCTTTAGGTATTTCCTTACTTATTCCTCTTGGTAGAGAATTTCATACCATGTTAAAATCAATTTCATGCTTTTTTTTTTTTGTTTCAAATAAATCCTAAACCTTATCGGATGAAATGAAAATTATTGAAATTGAGCTTCATTTGCGTGCTTCTGCTGTTTCCCTGTCGTCTGTATTTCTTTCTCATCTGGTAAAAGTATCTCGGCTGAAAACGCACTGCAAATATGTTTGGATTTGCTTTAATGTTTTATTTTTTTAATTTTAATGTGCAGATTTTATGAAGCCCGGGCACGATCAGTACATTTATCGGCACGCCAATGGGTATAGTTCTATCTTTGTTATCGGCACGCCCATTTGGCTTTGCATTTGGAGTAATAACATTAAATTTTCTTCCTCTCTTTTCCTGTGACCTTAAAGCCTGTGTGTGATCGGCTTGGCTCCTTCCCACATTGCTTTCAAGGATGCAGGTGGAATTACGGCCGTGGATTTTAATGTTGGAAAGTCTGATCGCAGCGAGTTTAAGGTCACAGGAAAGCGGAAGAAGGTATGTCTTCTCTCACATTCCTTCCTGGATATCCCAAAGGAAGCAACTTTCAGTCATCGATTATGTTTAACGGACATGAATTATCATGTTATGAAGTGCTTTCCACTAATTGTTTACACTTTGCAACTAGAATACCCCTTTCAACTCAGTCCGAAAAAAGAATACCCCTTTCGCCTTTGTGTCCGAGTTTAACACTTATTTGTAGATGAATAACTCATATTACTCTTGCCGCTTGTGTAAAGAAAGTATGACAATGACTGTAAGGTGGCCTTTCAGGGGGAGATGTGTAGGATAATGTAAACGCTACAGTCAATTTTATCAATGCATTTCTAAGTTTGGCATGAATTTGAAGCAATTTTGTGGTTAGGTTTTTAGTGCTATGTTTGCTTTTTTGATGAAGGGATTTGATGAAATTAAAGCCATAATTCCGTGGTATACTCTAGTAACTTGAGCTACCTTAGTTGCATTGTCTGTGACATTAAAAGATTTACTCATATCCACTTTATTTGACCAATCCGCTAGTTTTTGCCACTCATCCATGTGTGTTGATAGCATCGTTGTATTATTTATGATGTATACTTCACTTTTGGATTTTCCACCTGGAATGATTTTGTCATTGTGATATACTTGCAGGATCTTTACATGTGTCATACAATTTTCCATTACTTTTGTATTATTAAAACAAATATATTCTTGTGCAGAATGCTCAACACTTTGAATCCAACACAGCTTTGTGTAAAATTTCTACCAGTAATGATTCTTTCATAGTGAGGTAAGTTTCTTTATTTCAAATTGTAATAAATGCTTATAATCTAGGACTTAGTAAATAAATAATATATACTTTTCGTCTCTTTTCTTTTTTGCAATTATCTTTTAGTATTTTGAGTGTTTAAGTTTGCCTTTGGTGGCTTTTCAAAGGTGTTGTGTCAAAGGCTCTCTTTTGGAAGTAAATCAGCAACTAATCAAGCAGCCAGATTTGCTTAATACTGCGGTAAGTTAAGAAGACGCATATTCCTCCCCCAACTCTTCATTTTTTTTTAAAAAGATAAATAAAAAAAAAAAATATCCAGGCGGGTTGTGTCATGCTGAAACAACATAGATAAACTTTCTCATTGCAAAAGATGGATGTTTCTAAGTAGTTCAATTGGGAATTATTTACTTTAACCGCTTAGAGCAAAATTTTCTATGTTTTCCATTGATTCTTGGAGATCAACAAATAATGGCATAATATATAGTCCCATCGCATATTTGTATTTGCATCTGTCACGTCTTCTTCATCCTGATATAGTGCCACTAAAGCTTTGCACTGCTTTTCTTTCCCGTTGCTCTTTTAGTCGTCTTATCATTTTTTTTAAAAAAACACGTAGGCAGATAGAGAAGGATATATTGCTATTATAATGCCAAAACCAGCTGATTGGCTCAAGATCAAGGCTTCACTCGTGGAACATCAGGAGTACAAGAAATTGAGGCAAGTCTCATGAAACCTTTGTCTGTCCCATGGTGGAACCTTAAATATCTAAAGAAGTCTCGTGCCTTATCCAAGTGGTTCCGCGATTTCTTTATTTCGACCCTGGATTGATGGGGCGCCGAATGCATGCTACAAGTTGGATGATATCAGAGCAGCAGGGCTGGTGTTTAGTGACACGTCAAAGGAACCTTTATGTTGACTTTGTTATTGTATTTTCTGTTTTTTAAACGATTATCTATCCATGATTTCAATTAGTAATAGATTGAGCTATGACTTCAGGCCATTTTTTCTAGTTGTCTTATTGAGCAGTGGCTAAAGGAGAATAAATTGGTAGAGGACTGCTTGTTCATTGAATTTGTCATTTGTAAATTATGCAGTAGATCCTAAATAGGATAGCACTCACTTGCATGAACAGGTTTGACTTCATGAGCAACGATGTGATCTATAAGCTTTGTTGCTTTGTTAACAGAGCCCCTTTCTCTTTGCTCCATTCTTCGCTTTAAATTTTAAATTAATTCATCGAGTACAGACGCAAACTCAACAGAAGACACAGAAATATGGCAGCAAAATCGTATACTAACACATTTTAACTCGTGATGTGAATATTAGACAATTAATTCCAGATTCTACAACAGGCTGTCCTATGACAGAGCTTAGTGTTCGCTTCCATCATTGGCAGCAGCGCGTGTCTTCTGCTTGCATTTTTAATTGGTTCACTTGGAGCTTTCTTTTCTGTGGCTTGTGTACTTCCAACTTTTAATTTTGACTGTAATTTCAGAGACATGATATAAGAAGACAAAATAAGAAGGGGGAAAAAAATGAAAAAATCGATTTGGTCTATCAACACACAGCACTCCAATGACAAAATGAACCATTAAATGCAATAAAGATCCTATTTCCTTCCTCCATCTGTGCGACCAAAGGGATCAGGCACTTGAGGGGACAGACAACAAATTTGATGTCATGAATCCGTATCCTCTGGTTGATCTCTCGCCTCAAATGGGGCTTGACTCGTGCAGGTTCCTGCTAACTCCTTCGGCCTTGAAATTCAAGGCAGATGGAGATGGAGATAGAGAGAAAGGTATGGAACCATTCAACTATTGTTTCTCCATGATCTCTTGAAGAACAAGTTTTCGAGATCTGTTTATTGTGAGAAAGCACAAATAGATATGTCCTTCAAGCTCTTCTAACTGATCCGAAAAGTTAGAGTCATGGTCATGAAACTCCCTCAAAACCTGCTTCAGTATTTCACACTTGCCATTCTTAACGCACATGTTAGCCACTGCTTGCCGGTGATCCACTTCTTCTTGTAACCTCTTCACCATAATGCTCATCGTATCGAAGTCATTAATCAGCATGTAAACCCCTTTAGCAGCAACATCAAGCTGCTCGCATTGTCTTTCAAAACCACTTCTACTAAAAACCCGCTTGATTCTTCTTCTGAATAAGCTTGCCAGGCCAATCACTATACAGGGTGCCGCCACTATTCCTACTATGCAATGCAAGGCAAAAATTAGTAAACCAATCAGAATAGCACCGTCCAGGATGATAAGACCAATTCCTCCAACCTTCTTACATATTCTCTTGAATCTCCCTCTTCTTCGAATTTTCTGATCTTCTGATTTTAGTCTATGCAGAAGCCCTGTATACGCGCTGTGAATGTCGCGGAACTGAGAGGAGCTGATAATGGAGAAAGGGTTCTTTTGCCGTGCGAAGGAAGCAAGATCTCTATAGATAGCCTTGTGGGTTTGGTCTGTTTCTGGACAATCAAGCACAAACTTGCTCAGCTTCAGGACCCTCGTGACTTTCTTATACGAAACTCGCATACGATGGATCGCTTCAAGGATTGTGTCGCAGTAATGGCATGCCTCCAAGCTAGCTTCGAAGTACTCCAACAGAAAACGGTGCATCTTCAAGCTTTGGGTCATATTCGTGACGGTTTCTTGTTGGGGTTCGAGCAAATGTTCAGTGAGATGCAAGGAATAAGGAAGAGATGAAGATGGCGAAGAAGAAGGTGTGGTGGCGATTCTCGCGTTTATCAGCTGCCCCTGCGCTTTGTTGCATATTTCCATGTAAGATTTTGTTCTGAAAGCTTCCTGGTATTCTTCATTCACGTTTGGCTTCCCACACAAGCTATCTCCATCGCTCTCTTTCCTTGATCTACCTGCAAAAAACATGCGAAGAACTCCATGAATCAACCTAGTTATAAACACGAAGCAAACAAGGGCTAGAAGAACTCACAGAAAGAATTGTAATCGAATGCTTTCATCATAATTATGTATAAGGAAGCTAAAAAATTCAGACAGAAAATAGAATTGAGTTGCTGAAATAATATAATTGAACTCACCTGCTCTTGGCATGGAAGATATGATCAACCTGAGCCACCTAGTGTTTGTCATTTTGATATGATCGGAGCATATGTAGAAGAGCCCAAAGATATTTTTCTGCCTCTGGGATTTCAATATTAGAGATGAAAGGATGGCATTAACATTAAGTATCATATATATACTACGGTTGTGTGGGCGCGTCTGTTTATAATAATACACACAGAGGGAGAGATGTTTTGATTGGGGAGAAGCAAAGAAGAAAAAGCGAAGGAATCCAGTTGGCAAGTACCACCGCCACAAAAATGGTTAAGCCTTTGCCGACACGCTGCGTTCTCTTACGTGGACACATCACTCGGCACTAATTATCCTAACAACGATCTCTCTCTTTCGGGAACGATCCCCCTCATTTTCATTTGAATATTAGATATTTAATGTTTAAAAAAAAACCAGTAAAAATACCTGTGCTTTACAGTTTGCACGATATAATACTTTCACTTTGAGTTTGATCCTAAATATATGTAATCTGGAGGGGGAAAAAAAACATTGGGCGATTAATTGGCTGTCATATCGACCATTTCTTAAATAGTAAGTTAATATATGAAATTATGGAGAAATTTTTTGCTGCACTTGAGAAATAAAAGTTAAAAATACGATGGAATGAAGTGCAGAATACTAATGTGGGAATTGATTAGAGCAGGGGGTTAATTAGGGAGACTCCTGGCGATAATGATGGCTAACGGACGGACGCGCTTTGGGGTATGTCCATAGGAAGGAAGCCAAAAAATGGCGCCAAAGAAAGATGTTATGGTGGTGAGGTCCCGCATCCGTCATTGTATCAGTAGTTATCTGCCACGTGTGAGTCAATAATGATTGGAGATGTTACGTGTCAGTTTGTGCTACACTTAACCTCCGTGCCCTTTCAAGAAAGAAACAAGGGGCCCGACGCCTTTCCAATGAAAACCCCATTCTCCTTTTCTCTCTCTCTACGTGTCTTACTATTTTCTCCAATCTTTCATATAAAAAATTACTTAAAATTAAATTAATAAATTAAATACATTCATTAATTATAAAATATATGATTTTTTGCCAACAATTATAATATAAATATGACCTATATAATATTGATAAATATGATAAAACAAAATGCATTAAAATTTTAAATTTATGATTAAATTTAACCCTATGCTATAGTTAACTCGTGTGATATAATAAATTACATTTTTAGATTTTATCGGACCAATTCATCTCAAGTGAGAGATCACTTTTAACATGATATTTTCTCTGTATATAAAATAAAGTTCAAATTCCATGCCTTACACGTGAGTTATAGAAGTTTTTTTTTTCCCCAACTCAGTCTAATTATTCTTGGTCAAAAAATAATACTAGTATTTTACACTTGAACGCATTGTTCCACTTAATTTGGCGGCGGGTCATGAAGGAAGGAAAAAAGGACGTTTTGATTTTTGGATAACAATACGTTAATTTAATTGTAATTTTGCATTGAAAAGTTAATTTTTTTTTTTAGTAAATGACTTTTGGTATTCAATGATCATTTAAAATTACAGCAACAAGATGTTTCTTAAAAATGTTGGTGTTGTAATTTTTTTTTCACCAGAATGTTGGTGTTATAATTTGAACTACCAATTGCAAACACTTTCCTTCGATCTACATAACTCTAAAGGTGTGTTTGGTTTAAGGGAAAGGTGGGAGTGAGGAGGGAAAATGAGTCACTCTCCTCGTTTGGTTAAAAATTTTAGAGTTTCGTTTATGCCCTTGTCCCATTTTAACTCTCTCTCCTAAATTTGGGATTTTTAGAGGGGAACTAAATTTTTAAACCATTATACCCTTATATTTTTTATATTCTATTACTACCCATAAAATACATTATTATAATATTTATTTTAAATAAAAAATATATTATCCTAAATAAAAAATAAAAAATATAAATTATTATAATTAAAAAATATATTATAATAAGAATTAATATAAATTATTATAAAAATAAAAAATCAATTTTTTTAAATATATTATTTATTAAATATATTTTAAAGCTGAAAAAAAGTATAGCCTAAAGAGAATAAAATTTCAATTTTTTAGAGCATATAAAATTTGTTAATTTGATTATTTCAAATATATTATTATATTAATTAGAATTAAAAAATACTGTACTAATTTTTTAATGTACACATTAAGATGATAAGACTGAATTTTTATTAAATTATATCATTTAAATTAATATTTAAATTAATTTATATAATATATCACTAAAAAATATAAATTAAAGTGTAAGAATAAAATGATAAAATGATTATTACTATTCTCCTCCCCGTCTTGAACCAAACAAGAAATCATTAAATATCCCTTCTTCCTCTCTTTTTTAATAAAATCAAACAAGATAAGGATAAAATCTCTCCCATCTCTCAAACCAAACAAGCCCTCAATATTCCAATGGAATAAAAAAGAGATGGGTAACATAAATTACTGATTTTGTGTGGAAAAAGAGGTTTACGCTTGTTAAATGAATCATTTTTAAAACATACTCATATACTATTCCGGTCCTAATTATAAGACCCAATTGACTTATTTGAGGAGATTAAGAAAGTAATTTAAGTTGGTTATTTATAATAAATAAGTGTTGTCATTCCTAAAATATCCTTGCTAATTAAATATATTGGCCAAAACTATCATTATTAGAAGGATTATCTTGGAAAAAAAATGCATAAATATAAGAGACAAAATGGATTGGGTCTTATAATTAGGATCAAATAAAAAGTCAAATTGGGTCTTATAATAAGGACCGGAGGAGTATTTTAGTAGTATATATCACCCTCTACCCTACTCACACAAAATCGTGAAAGGATAAGATTAAAATAAGGTAATTAAGTCGTTTTTATACGAATATAAAAGAGAACATTAAATTTTTTTCAGAAGATAGTTTTTCATATAGGACGGAGTCGGGGGAGAGGGCAAGTTATACAGCGAATAGTGAATTATTGAGGATAGGTGTCAGTTATTTCTAATATGTCTTTTCTTTTTGATTATTTTACCTAAACAAAAAAGTCTTTTCGAATCTGGTAGTAAAAGTTAAAATATTAGTTGTAAATATTTTACCCATCAATGTCAAATTTTAGAAATTCTATGTAAAGTTACTAGAACATTAATTGCAAAATTATCACATAGAAATGTTAAATTTCAGAAAACCAATATGAAATTCTGAAGGTATTTGTTACATAAATTTGACTCTTATCTTTTACAACTTACCACGTCTGATTTTAATTATAAGATCTTATTTATAATTTATAAATAAAATTTTATAATTAAAAACAGAGTTAGTATTATTGACTGGACAGAACATTTTAAATTAAAGGTTAATTAGTAATCGTATCTCACGGGGGAGACCTTTTTGGTTCTTTATTGAAGGTTTGATTACTCTAGGTTACAAATAATTTTTAATAAAATGAATTCAAAATAAATACTACATAGTTCTACTGCTGTCCTTTTGCTTACAATAAAATTGTCACATATTATTTATCCTATAAATTTGTTACTAAAATTATTTACTTAAAATTTATCCTGTTTTAATATTATTGGATAAAAATATATTAAATATATAAAGTTAAGCATAGAACTTTTTTTTTCCAATTTAATTTGTGATGCCGTTTTGTATCCACACAATCTGATTTTATCTTTAATTTCATATGAAATTTTTATAAGAATTCGAATATAACTTCATATTCAGTTTCTACAATTTTTCCAGTAAAAATCAGTGAAATTTCTTTCTTCCTTCCTTGAACATTTACCCCACTGCGGCGCTGCCTCCTAGTCAATTTCCTAGAAAACGCCAAATATTTATTATGTAATAAGGTATACATACATATTTTGTTTTTGCCATTGAAGGTATATATTTATTTTAAAAAGATGATATTCAGATTAAACGTCTTATATTAATTATGTCAAATTTTTCAATATGTAACATATTTTTTCTTATGTCAGTTTATAGGAGAAACCCACACGTCCGCAAGCATCGAAGATCCTCCTTAACAGTAATTTCTTATATTATCTTTTATTCTTAATGTAAGAACTATTTGATTAATTTGAATAAATTAAAAAAATTAGTTAAGTTAGTTATTCATAATAAATAGTATTGTCTTTTATAAAATATCCCTGTTAATTAAGTGTATTGATTAGAACTACTATTATTACAAAAACTGTTTTAAGAAAAAATAAATAAATATGAAAAACGAAATAGATTAAAATTTTATATTTAAAACTAAAATAAAAATTAAATTAACTCTTATTAACACGAGGTAGCATTTAAAGTCTTTAGGGATAAAGCATTTGTTAAATTAGTCCCCACGCATATTTTCCCACAACAGAAAAAACCCTGCCGTCTTTTTGGCAGGAGGAACGATTCTGAGTTTTTCAATAAAAGAGGCGTCTTTGAATAGGTTCAAAGCAAAGCTTGAGATCCCCAAAAAAAAAAAAAATCAGATCAAAAAAAGAAGGGGTTCAAAGCTCCAGAAGGCATTGGTTGCTTTGTTGCTGTTTTGTAATGCTATCTTCTTGTCGTTATTATTATTATTATGTTAATATAAAAACTAAATAACTAATTTATAAAAATTTAAAAAATTAGTCAAATCAATCAGTTATAATATGTAAGTGTTATATTTCTTAAAGTACCTTATTAATTATGTGCTCTTCCGTTCCTTAATATATAATATGTTTAACTAATTTGATTAGATTAAGAAAGTTAAGTAAGTTAGTTAATTTTAAAAAATATGACATGTTTTTCTTAAAACAACTTTTTTTTTTTACCAGAAAAATTCTAATAACTTATATCATTTATAATTTGTAGGTGAGGTGAACATTAGGCCTTTTGACAAAAAAAAAAAAGAAAAAGATGAACATTAGGCCCATATTTTAAGATAAAAACAGGAGAGGTAAAAAGTAAAAAGAATTAGAGTAAGTACGAAAGCCGCAGCTCAATTAGGTTTCCATCAGGCCTCAGTCCGATGGCCAGGCGAAAGAGAAAGTTTCAATCAGGCGGCCATCAAGGAGGTTAATATGGTCATAAAGAAAAAGGCGGAGGTTAATATGGTAAATGTGAAAATTGCCATAAAGCGACCGTGTAAATACTAAATAGAATGCATAATATAAATAGGAAAGTGTTTGTTTTGCAAGTTTTAGGTTTCATAACAGAAAGCCTGCGTGCTGTTTTGGTGCCAATATACAAGAGAGGGAGAGAGAGAGAGGGCGAGGGGGAGATCGCTGGTCTTGGGGTCTGAGTAGAGGGGGCTATTTAGCCGAGCAAAGATCCGTCCTCACCATCACCTTAGTCGTCAATATCACGGACACAAACCCTAACTTTTATTCTTTTATTCTTTTTTGTCTTGATTTCTTTCCAACGACCTTATCGATTCATTAATTTCGTTATTTTATTAGATTGACGCTGGTTATGTACTGATCAATCTCTGCGCAGTTCTACAAAACCTGAAAACCCTAATTGGAAATGGTTACCGCACCTGATTCTTCTTCTAACCATCACTCGCCGACTATTGCCGGGAATACCAATAGCCCTACGTTCCCGCGAAAAAACTTGCCCTCCCCCTGGGCTCAAGTCGTTAGGGGTGGTGAGTCCGAATCACTCTCCGGAACTCAACAATCGCCGCCGTCATCCTCATCAGCTTTTTCCTCCTCTTCCTCTTTGTCCTCCCTCACTTCCTCTGTGTTCGATCATCCATCACAGTCTGATTCCGTTCCAAAGGCGGCTCCGGCTTGTCCGCCGCTGGATAACTCTAATACGGCTGCCGCAGATGACTGTGATGCTAATAACGGTAATGCAGGTCGTTCTAAGAAGACTGCCTGGAACAAGCTTGCAAACGGCGATGTTGAGGTTAGCCCTGTAATGGGTGCTGTCTCCTGGCCGGCACTGTCTGAATCCACCAAGGCTTCGGCTAAATTGTCAGCTGAATCGTCTTCCAAGGCTTCTACCGATGGATCGCTCCCCAGCTCTCAGGTTTGGTTGCAATACTTGCACTCATTTTACACTCTTGATTGGAAACGGATTGTTTGAAGAATCATTTTAAATATATTGCTACAGGATTCCAGCAACATAGTATCTACATTAGGAAGGGTTATACTTACAGAAACTGTAACTTGTCTTATTTGCATGCATGATACTGTCATTATTGTAGGCGCCTGTTACTTCGCACACCCCTCACAAACAAGCTGCTAGTAATGCAAAACCTAATTTTGCAACAAACCATGGCACATATAATAAACAAAGATCGATGAAGCGTGGAGGTGGCAGTAACATTGGAGCTGGTCCTGCGCAAAATAGCTTCTCCAATCCCCCCCAGCCCCCACCGCCACCACCTTTTCCTGTATATCAGATGCCTCCAAGTGGCTATAATACTATGGTACCAGGAGTTCCCGATCCTTCATCAAGAGAGCTTCTTTACAAGAAGAATAGCTGGGATCCAAGGCCCTCAGTTGGGGGTTTTATGCCTGTTGTGAATGATCGTCGGAATTCCCCTCGCAGGGGCAATTTTGTGCCCCATCCACGTGCTGATGGTTCTTATCATAATAACTATGGGGGTAGACGTGATCAGGATCGTGGAAATTATGGAAATAGTGGGGATGTTCATGTAAATCAACAGAGAATGCCTCCTAGGGGATTGGCGAGGCCCTTGCCACCTAATACTGCTGCATTTGTGGCTCCTCAGCCCCTAGCACCCTTTGCAAACCCTGTGGGTTTTCCTGGTGAGTTTCATTCTCCTTTTTATTTATGTTGTGTGTACAAAATAAAATACAACTGATCACTGTTCTCTTTGTCTTTCAGAGTACTATTATTTCCCAACACTACCACTGGAACCCTTCAGGGGTATGCCATTCGTCACTCATGGCCCTCCTCCCGCAATGTTCTTTCCCGTTGCAGAATCACCCCTAGCCAATACGATAGTGAATCAAATTGATTATTACTTCAGGTTATGTACCAAACAAAAATATCATTGTTATTTCAGGTTATATTTTTTCTGCTCTCTATGTTATAATTTATCAATAAATACGTCAAATTTGAATTGTTTGTTCACCCTTGATTTCTTTTTGACAGTGATGCTAATCTTGTTAAAGATGAGTATTTAAGGTCCAACATGGATGAGCAGGGTTGGGTTTCAATTAGTTTGATAGCAAGCTTTCCTCGAGTAAGTCAATCATGCTTGATGAAACTATACTTTGAACTTTTAAACTTCTGAATATTTACGTATATTATTTATTTTATTGAAACCAAAATATGAACCAGGATGTGTGTTTGAGTCTGGTGCGACTGCAGGTTTTATTGCTTTGGAACAAATAATAAGCAACCAAAAGGAAAGTTAAAATATAAAATCCTTTTCATAAAAAATAATTGGATTTATATTGTGCATATTGGGGAATATTATATCTTTTCTTTTGTTCAGCTGCCTAACCTGGAAATATATCTCCTGAAAACAAAGGAGAAGCATCTATTTGCTTTATTTGTTGAAGTCTTTTTCAATGATTCACCAATATTGAAGCAATGCTGCTGGAGCTGGCCCTCTGAAATGATCAATTTGATTGTTATTTGGTACTTTGCGTCTGTGATAAATTTTTCTAAATTCCTTGTATTAAGTTCAGTATTGGTTCTTAAAGTGCATGAGTTGTAAAGCTTTTTACTGGTAGTTAGTACTAGTTATTTGTTTCCATGCCAAAGTTATCATAGATAGATGGATAATTACAATTCTTATCCAGATCTCTTTTTCTATTCTTGTTGTTTATGTCAACTATAATGTATGTCCATATTCCTTTGTCTTAAAATGTCCCTATAGAACTTAATAATGGTACCAATATATGGTGGAAGGTGATAAGTGGATGTTGGTTAATAAAATATTTGTGTGATTGTGACTGTGACTGTGTGCTCAAGTCTTTAGTGCAACTATATTTTATGTCAGATCCCATGGCTCAAATTCAAGTGATGGGAGAAAATTGTTAATGATAAAGTTTTGATTTTTTGATTAAAGGATAATTATGTGAGTTAGAAAGTGATAGAATTCCCTTTTTTGGTTGGAAGATTAACTTCATGAGTACTCTTTTCTTATAGGAAAATGACCCATGATAGCCTGATTCTCGTGGAAGGATATTTTTAAATATATGATGAGTTAAATATTGTGCCATCAAGAAATGGCACAGATGCAACCAAATTTTTTCAGGACATTGGTCTGTTATCCATAATTTCTAGTATATATTTATTGACACAATGATTGACTATTAGTTTGGATTAGAGTACACTTGTTTGTTTGTGCTTGAAATCTCAATCTCAATTCTTCATCCCAGAAAGAAAATAAGATTACTTTTGAACATTCACTCATTGTGGTGATTCAATTGTTTTAAGAGTGGCATCAAGTTATGAAGTGATTAGAAATGTATTTTCAATTTTGTCTTTAGTCAGCTTATGATTATGACTGTTAAATTCCAAATATCCCTCATTTTGTTATACATTTTTTGGGTTAGTTATTTCTTCAATGATATTCTTATGTAGGTTAAAAGTCTGACAAGCAATATTCAATTGATATTGGATTCATTAAGAACATCTACTCTTGTGGAAGTACAGGTAACCACTCAAAATTTCAACTACTTATTTTGTGTCAACTATAATTCTCATGTTTTGGCAAAAGTATTATTCTTTGTTATTCTGTTAGCAATTCTAATGTCTTGATTTCCTTGCAGGCTGACAAGGTGAGGAGGCGTAATCAATGGAAGAAATGGTTGCCATCGTCTCAGCTACGGGTCGATTCTGCTTTGGCATCTTCTGGTGGATCAAATCACAATAATCTGGTTGCTGATTTTCAGAAGATCGCCATTGAAGAATCAACCACTAATAAAGTTAATTCAAGCCCCACCTCAGATAGATCTGCAATAAGGACTTCTAGTCAGTCCCAACTCTGGAATAGTGATGCAATTGACAATGCCGATTGAAACTAGACATAATCAATCTATCTCGCCCCAATATTGTTAGCCTGGATCTAGTATCCAGCCTTGGGCAATACCACGTTTTTTGCTTTGAGGTTGATTGAAAGTAAGGCTATTCTGGAATATGATCCCTTCTTTAGTTGCTGAGCTCGATTTTGGTAGTAATTTATATATCAAGTAGGGGAAATAAAGATTCATTGGTTACTACTACGATCTAAAGATAAAGTTGATAAGACTGAAGGAATTTACAATTCTGATTGAGGCGGATTTTACGAGGTTATTGATTTGTACAGCTTATGCTTTAGTCTTGACCTTTTTTATCTTGAAATTTTCTGGTGTGTTACAATATGATGTGTGGTTGAAGCCAAGCTGTTGACATTTTGATACTAAAAAGGGGAAAATGAAATTAAAAAAAGAAAAAAAGAGAAATTTATTGTCGTTTCATTTGGTGACTATGTGCGCTCTGAAATTTTCTCTCTACTTTAATTGAAATGCATTGTTTTTTTTCAGGATTTATAATTAAATAATTCTTTGTAGTAGAATTATAAGAATAATTTTGTCTAGACTTGTAAGTTAAAAAATTGGTAGCTAAGACATTATGATAATAAAGTCATAGATTAAATAAATAAGGGGTTAAGAATGAAGAGTCCTGAATGTCTGCTATCTATTTATAAGAAATGTTCATGCAAATAAATAAGGGGTTAACTCATCCTTCAAGAATGACAGAATAACCCCACCATCTATGTGAAGGCATAGCTTGGACGACGGGAGGCGTTCCACTTGTGTTGTTGTTATTGCAAGGGTCAAGTTTATCCTATTCTCATGGTGTTGCCAAGAATTTACAAGCTAGATTTTACTTACAAATTATGAATAATACAGTTTGCGTTTTATGAGTATGTCATGAATTAAATTAGAATTATCTTGGCGCAATAAAAAAATTAGTATATATTTAATATTCAATTCAGTTGTAACAACTCTAAGCATGTGAAAATGCGTTTAGATTATGTTGTTACGCAAAATTGATGATAAACTGGGGGCAAAGGCAGAGAAACGGGGACGGGAAACCAGGAGAAGAAAGCCGAAACAATTGGCCCAAGGAGAAGGCCACACAAATTGGACCCCATTTTTTCTTCTAAGCACAGGACGATTGAAAAAGTCCATGATGTAAACATTCAAAATCCATTTTCTTGTCATGGCAAAATCAGCACATTCCAATGCAACTCTGGTCTCGGGTCAATTATTTTACACCTATGTCCATTCTACTTGAGAACCTTCTGAATCTTCTGCCTCCAGCCGCCACGTGGTAAAATTAATAGGCGAAGCGATCCTGAAAATTAATCTAAATCCATGTATCCTCTAAAAGTTTTCAATGTTGGTATGACTTGGATATATCCCCAAATTGTTCCCCATTTATCTCATCAACCCAAAAGCAGCCTTCACGCACAGTGACAGTGCATTTCCCAATATATGGTTTCTGCGCAAGTAGTGGCGCACTGCGATTACGATGATTTTGTGCAGAGAAATACACATTTTAGCAGAGAAATGAAGTTGACCCATGTAATTATCAAATAAGATCTCGTCATATATATTTCACCCATTTTTTTATTTTATTAAGTGGTTGCCTGATACGAAATCCAATCCTCCCCACAAATGCTGAGGAATCTATCAATGGCGTGACTCCATTCATTTCTTTGATCTCCATCTACTCCATACCGGTCACACTCCACCAAGCCTTTTATTCTTCTTATTGGATGCACAATCCCACTTCAGCTCAAATGGCCTTTATCTCTTAAGTTAAAAAGAGTTATGACTGCCTACATTTTCTGACTCCAAGCCATCCATGGATCCAGTTCGTTTCTTACTAAAAAGAAAACATAAACAAAACTAAGTAGTTGCTTCGCCTGGAGGTTTTCGTTGTCTTTGTCAAGTTATTTCTTATGCTTCTGAACTACTTCTAAACCCGTAAATGGAATACATCGAGTGAGTCATAATCAATTACTATATCCTTTTATAAATCTATGGAATATTAATCTTCACTGTACGCGAAAAGAAACGAGAAGCTTGTTGTGCCAAGGTTCCTAGATAGGGCAAGATTCATAGTTAGGCATGTAGGTAAGATGGAAATACACTCATAAGTGGGACAAAGATATAGTTATATATGTGAACTTCATGTATATCTAGGCATATATAACTGATATAATTTATATATATGTCCATTCCACCAAGAATACCCACCTGGTTCAAATGGCGCACTTTGCGTGGATAGAGTGCTTGACGCGCATATTGCATACGCATGCCATAGTTCCACCAGCACACAATTTCTCATCATTCTAGATGTACATTTTCATCCTTGTCTTGACCTACTGCTTCTACGACAAGTAATAACCCTATATATAGGACATGGATGTGTTGCTGAGCATATACTTGTATTTACATATTGAACGCCACCATCCAAGATATGGAACGCTATTCTCCTTGCATGATCTTGTTCTTTTTGTTGCTCTCTGTTGGAGCTCGATCACAGAATGTTAATGATATTAATAATCGCAATACTGATGCGTCTTCTGTGTATATTGTTTATATGGGAGCCACCGATTCCGCTAATGCTTCCCTTCGGAATGATCATGCCCAGCTCCTGAGCTCTGTGGTCAAAAGGTAAAAGCCTGCCAGATGAACTCTATATATATGCATGGCCTGTCGCACGAAGTGTGTTTGTCTTGTTTAGTTAGATTGATTTTGACGAGGGGTTGTTTGTTTTCCTTGCACCTATGATTATTATAAAGGAATGGGAGAGCTCTAGTACACAATTATAAACATGGGTTCTCAGGGTTCGCGGCTCATTTATCCCAAGAGGAGGCAGATTCGATCGCTAAGAAACCTGGAGTGGTGTCTGTGTTCAAGGATCCAGTTCTGAAGCTTCACACTACTCGTTCTTGGGATTTTCTCGACCATCAAACTCAAGTCAAAATCGACTCTGTTTCTGCTTCTGCTGCTTCTTCTGACACCATCATTGGCATCTTAGACACAGGTGTATATATATACCAATAGCTAAGCTAGCTTCATCCCCTTCAGTCACGTACACAGACCCCAGTTATTTGGATAACTAACCAGACATAGCAAATGGACGGTGCAGGGATATGGCCAGAGGCGGCGAGTTTTTCAGACAATGACATGGGTCCCATTCCATCTCGTTGGAAAGGTACCTGCATGAAAGCCCCAGACTTTGATTCTTCCAACTGTAACAGGTAAAAACGAGGAACGGCAACTACAAACTAAGTCGCTTGTGAAGAACAGAACGTATATTGTGTTAAAACGTTATGAGAAATTTGTCAGGAAGCTAATAGGAGCAAGGTACTACAAGGATGGTAACAGCGATGAGGATGGCACGGCAAGAGATACTGTTGGCCACGGCACCCATGTGGCATCTACGGCGGCGGGGAACGCCGTGGCTGATGCGTCTTACCATGGTCTAGCGACCGGCAGCGCGAGGGGTGGGTCCCCTGCTTCCAGGTTGGCAGTATACAGGGTGTGCTCCGACTTTGGATGTCAAGGCTCCGCCATCCTTGCCGCCTTCGACGACGCCATTGCCGACGCCGTTGACGTCCTCTCTCTCTCCCTAGGTGCCCCTTACTACGCCCGACCCGCCTTGACATCGGATCCCATCGCCATCGGATCCTTCCATGCCGTCGAGAGAGGCATCACCGTCGTCTGCTCTGCCGGCAATGATGGCCCCACCTCAAACACCGTTTCCAACGACGCTCCCTGGATTTTGACCGTCGCTGCCTCCACCCTCGACCGCGATCTGCAGTCCGACCTAGTTTTGCCTGATAACAAAGTTATCAAGGTACCCACATCGATTCCCCATCGTACAGACTTACCTGTCTCTTTTCAAAAACGATTCTTTTGATGAAATTTACTTTTCCTGACGTGCTTCCATGTTCTAAACCAAAAGTTAGTTTCAATTATAGTTTCATAAAGCAAGCTGTTCGGTAGGTAGGTGGTTGGACCATGCACGTTTATGCCTTTTTGATGAATAACCGGAGTTGAAATGTTGATCATGGCATGTCATTATTCAGGGTGAAGGAATCAACTTCTCTAATCTTTCAAAATCCGCCGTGTATCCATTGGTATATGGCGAGTCCGCCAAGGCAGCAAACGCCGACGCCGCTGCAGCGAGGTACTATATATTACATATCTTTCAATCTCTTTGAATGGAGTAATTGCCAAATTAGATTGTACTGTATAACAAAGTTTGATTATTTGGAGCATTAACCTTAGAAAAAATGTTCAGACAATGCCACCCGGACACATTGGATGAGAGCAAAGTGAAAGGGAAGATTGTAATATGTGATGGCAAAAGTGATGATTATTCGACGAGTGAAAAGATTAGCATTGTGCAAGAGGCTGGAGCAGTAGGATTGGTTAACGCTGATGATCAGGGTAGATATGTGGCATCTAACTTTGGTAAATTTCCGGCCACCGTTATAAGTTCAAAAGATGAAGTCACACTTCTCCAGTATCTCAACTCTACCAGGTAATTAACTTCCTTTCAGAATCACTTCCAATTTCCAAAATTAAAATAAAAACGTAACCATCCCCCTGCTCACCAATCAACTCTACTTATATATGTTTGTGTTTGAAGCAACCCGTTGGGAACCATTTTACCAACAGTTTCAGTCAATAATTTTAAACCTGCACCACAAGTAGCGTACTTCTCGTCAAGAGGGCCTTCAACAGTCTCGAAGAACATCATCAAGGTAAGCATAGTTCTGAATTGATATGTGGCCCAACTCATTATATTAGAGCTTAATATTTGCAACAAACACTAACGATCATGGCATGTACGTAGCCTGATATCACAGCACCAGGAGTTGAAATACTGGCATCATGGACTGGGGATGATTCTGAAGAGGTTCCAGCAGAAGGGAAAAAGGCCTCATCTTTCAACCTTGTCTCGGGAACTTCCATGTCCTGCCCTCATGTTTCAGGTGTCGCTGCCACTGTCAAATCTCGAAACCCCGCTTGGTCTCCCTCTGCCATTAAATCAGCCATCATGACCTCAGGTCAGCCATCACTATCCGCACTAGTGATATGTTTGTGTCTGTGTCTGTGTCGATACGATTAACTTGGTGATATATTGTCATATGTGGCAGCTATTCAGATGAACAATATGAAGGAACCCATAACGACAGATTCAGGAACAGTGGCGACACCTTACGATTACGGGGCTGGAGAAGTCTCAACGCTGGGCTCTTTGCAACCAGGCCTTGTTTATGAGACCACCACCACAGATTATTTGAACTACCTCTGTTACATCGGCCTTAATATCTCCTCCATTAAGCTCATCGCCGGCACCGTCCCGGATGGTTTTGCTTGTCCCAAGGATTCCACATCTGATAACATCTCAAACATAAACTATCCTTCCATAGCAGTCTCTAACTTTAAAGGCACCAGCAAAATAACCAGAACCGTCTCAAACGTAGGCGAAGATGAAGAAACTGTGTACACCGCAGTTGTGGAGGCTCCTAGCGGTGTGGACGTGAAGGTAAGTCCGAATAAACTTCAATTTACCAAGAGCAGTAAAAAACTGAGCTATGAAGTTAGTTTCTCCGCGACGGCCTCCGTGAAAGAAGCGGTGTTTGGCTCCATTACGTGGAGCAATGGCAAATATAATGTTCGAAGTCCTTTTGTATTGACCAAGTAGTAAAACTTGGCAGCTACAAGTAAATGGAGTAATAAATGTGTTTAGCCAAAACTGGATACCTGGGTGGTTTATACTTCATACGAAGTAGCAGAACTCGCATAACATGTTGCTAGGCAGGTTGCTAAATATATCGATCCCTGTATTGGTTGGCTGGCTGGCTAAATACTAAATAGATCATCCAGGATCTTTGTATCAAATGAAATATCTATAGTCGCTCTCCTTCTTGGGCAAATCAAGACCGTGCAGGCTAGCTAATTTGCAGCATTTTTCAATTACGTTTTGTCCTCTCCAGCATCACCTATCCCAAGAACGTCGATAATTTGCTTGGTGAACGTAATGCCAGATGGCGTTGGTGGGAATGAAAATAACGACGCGTAGAAAACGTACGTTAATGTTGCGTTTGGGTTACTGGGAATTTGGATTTAGACCAAAATTATTATTTAAATATCTAAAATTTTATGAATTTGGAAGCAATTTTTTATCACAATTTTTTTAAATTTCAAATACCTAATCTACCCCAATTATTTTAAATCTTAATTTCGCTTCTTCTTTTTTTGGTAAAATACGGGGCAACACGCCCATCGCTACTCCTTTATTATTCTAGGGAACAAGGTCCCTTTAAAATCATTGTACAAGATCAATTCAGTCTTAGGATATCCAAATATGTGGATAAGTCATACAAGTAGGATACCTTGTACGTATATGTAATTTCCATACTACCCAAATAAAGAATTTTAAATTTGAGATTTTAAATGTGATATTTTTGGGGTCAAAAATGTGATGTTTAATTTTAAATACAAGCATTTCGCTAAAAAAATTTTTGGTTGTCAAAAAGATATTCTGCTAGTTCATCCTTCGTTGCTGCGTCTATATTTGGGCCATTGAACTCTGAGTTTTTGGGCCTGATGGCCCATGATCCATCAAGCTCAAAAGGAAATGCTCTTTTCAACCCGAGCAAGGGAATTCGTTCAACGTGTATGACATTGGATATTTGCTGGCATTTCAGGTTGTGGTGCCTCTTACATAGGCTTTTGCATTAATAAGTTGTCTGAATGGATCATCCCATTTTTATCTCAAAGAATGATGAATTAATTTATTTGGAATCAATGATGAATACACGGTACAACCACTAGCAACTTATTTGGATCGTACATGATATATAGCAGTGAGGTTTATCAGATGAAGTGGGAAATGTATTTGTTGAGAACTAAGTCCACAAGAATTTGGTATGTTCTTTCAGTGGGATGGTAGCTATCCCAAAACACATACTTGGACTCGTCGGCACAAGTCTGAGGAAGAAGCCGATTACACAATATGGACACCTCCATAGTCCCTGTCCCACAGCATCCTCTATCAACCACCTCAAACCCTGAATCGTTATCATTTCAAGCAAATTTCATTTAGTTCACAAAACTATAATAATCTCTATCAACAAAAAATGATGGGCAGGCAGAGATTATACCATATTTGCCTGGGTTCTGGATAATATGAAGCAGAGGTTGGTAAACATCAATATACACGAACTTGGCTTGTGGCAGATTGTGATTTAATGAGTTCAGTTCCGCAGATAGTTTTAGATTGAACAAATGTGAGGCCATGTTTGTGTCTGGCGAGCAGTCTCTCCCTATTCCTCCAAACATTGTTCTCTGTGAAGGCATGCATCCCAGCGGGGGTGCACTGAACACTCCGATTCTCCTGGCTCCTAATCCGTACAATTCCTGCACTTGCATATGTAGTATACGAACGTTAATCAATTTGATTAATAATTACTAAATCAAACTCAAAGGTACAGTGAAGGAAAGGATCTTTATTAGCTGGAGATTATATTACCTGGACAAAGGTAGAGGCATGGTGCAGCAAGAGATCAGTGTAAGAGGGAATATCATATTGCATTCGCCTAAGTCCGGTCGCAAAGTAAGAGTTGGCAATGTCGTTGCTGCTTGCTACCACAAGGATCAGACTTTTTGATAATACGAAATTTGCTTTCTCTTCTCCAAAATTTTGTTTCAGCTTCCCTATGTATTCTTTGAATTGTTGCAATTGATCTGATAATGGTATCACCGACTATTTCCCCAGAGCACGTACCCAAGTTAAAAAAAAAAAAAAAAGCACATTAGAAAGATATATGCTATGATCATATTTCGAAGGAGATAATATGATATATGGATGTGTATAAAACTTATATACTGCTTTTTATATAAAATATATATAGATGTAGATTTAAAGCGCACATCTGTACAGCGACGTTTTAAACAAATTAATAAGAGGCGGTCCTACATGTCGAAACGAGTAATTTTATGATGATGACTATTAAAGATAGACTTAATTTAGATGGGAAATACCACAATATTTGGGGTCAAAGGATCGTAGCCTGAACCACCAGAAGCAAAGTTGACACCAGTCAAGAGATCATTGGGGTGCAAATTGGAGTCTTTATAGGAAGGTACAAATTCCTTAATGCCCAGTTCTTGAACTAAAACGTCAAAACAAAAGGACAGATAAGAGACAAGGCAATACATAGTGAAATGAAAGTAGTCTTAAGAGAGAGTAGTTAAAGACCTATGAAGTCAGAAGGGACTCTGCCATTAGAGAATCTTCCGGTAGGTCTGCCACCGTCGAAGTTTCTGCCATAAGGAAGAAAATTACACTTGGCAGGGGTTCTTAGGTCATTGTTACTGCCTGTGTCCATAATTGAGTCCCCAAATATAATGAGACCTGGCACTGTCTCATTTCCTGGCAGCTTTATCAACGCTTCCCCTCTTTCCCACACAATTCCACACCACACAGTTATCAACACCACCATTATTGCCCTCATCTCCTTCTCCATTTTCCTACGCTGTATCTTTCCCTATTTGTACGGATCCCTCTCTCTGCAACACCTCAGAGAAAGCTAAGCAACCCCTTAAATGTTGCTTTGTTGGCTTCGCCTTCTCCCTTGCGTTCATCTCTGCTTCTGCATCATTGTATTTATATCCTTCACGCCTACATAGCTACGGCTAGAAACCTCCATTTATTACTCACTCAGTCACGTAGCTATCTCTCGTTTCTTTACACATTTTGAGTAAAAGACAGTGCTGTTAAGTACTCTTGCGATCTTGTCCTTCCATTATATTCACTGCATCCGATCCAACTGCTCCAAGCAACATAAGTAGGTTGTTTACATGGCGGAAACATGAGAAAAGTAGGTCTCATTTCTAAACCAAACTTGCCAAGTAAGGCCCACTCATTTGTGAACGCATATCGTAACAACCAATGTATGATTATTGGCTTTTTTTGCTCACTTTCATGTAATGGATTAAGATGTATGCGCTCAGTGGTATATCTCTTGAACATCATGTCAGCATTTTAATAAACTTGTCCAGGGAAATGCTTTTTCTATTTTTTAATAGATAAGGCACACCGCTTTTAAGGGCTGCAAGGGATGGGGAAAAAAGAAAGACAATAGAAATCCAATTCAAATTAATGGATAAAAACTACTTCATAATATATAAAAAATAAATATGGTTACCTGAAGGCTAGGGAAGAGTTTTGGTTGGCAATTATGCTCCTTGTTAATTGGTTAACTTCTCTGCTTCATCCTCTCTCTCTCTCTCATATGCAACCGATATTCCCAAAAATTCATATTTGGATCGAGCCAAATTGGATTGAGACGGGTTGATTACATGGACATAAAACTTTGCCAATTACAAGACTTAATATCTGGCTTTTTAAGTGTTGAACCGCTTGAACTATATCATTTATCTTATTGTTCTTTCAATTCTTATGCGCTTATTTAAAGTATTCATTGATAAGTGTATAGCTAACCAGGGGACTTCCAATATTTAATATGATTGTTCTTTTAGACTGGTATATGGATTAATATGGAAGTTAATACTTGTAATTAATCTCAATCTGATGGCTCGATTAATGAAAATTATACACATACAACAATGGCTTCGCTTAAAACTTTTATCGTTTTTGTGTTTTGGTCTGGCCAGGTGGACCCTAACTATTAGCTATTCTCCATTATATTATAGAGTGGCGATAAATGTGTAGAAGTTTTTATTTTTCATCTCATGAAAAACCTTTTCACTCCGCTTAGCCCTATATCCTTGGGGTAATTTTAGTGATAGGCTCTAGAACCAAAACACAAAAGGTTAGAGAGGAGAATTTATGGATGGCAAGAAACCTAACCTCTGGATCCTGTGGGTCACACATTGGCAACACTACCCTACATTAAATGATATCCTGGCGGATTCAAATGGACAAAGACTCAGTCAAGATCCAACGTCCACTCACTTTATATATATATAGATATAGACGCACACAATATGAAACAGAGGGAATGTTTTAAATTTTGGAAGTTGAGTTATGAGGAGCTGTAGGTTTCAAATCAAACTAGCTAGTTGGCCTGGACAATTTCGGTTTGAAATCCTGAATAATACGTCATAATGACGTTATGAGAACATGATTTGAAAATTGGCTGTGATTATAAGCAAAACAGGATTTAAGACACATATCTGAGTAATTAGTAATATAAATATATATGTGTGTATATGTGTATATGTATAATCTGAGAGAAAGCTAACTAACTCAAAAGCATGAATCGGAACATGGCAATAACTTCACCCGAAATATGCCAAGAGATTTCGTAAATTTTGTGGTCCTTTGAGCAGTCACCGAATCGTTAATTATCAACCATTTCATGTCACATCGGGTCTTAAAATTCTCAACTACAACTTTGGCTGGCATAGAAGAATAAACAGTACAAGCATTTAGTGAGGCTATTATAGCTAGTCTGCTAGTGCGTGATGGCGATAAAGAGATTTAAGAGAGCAAATTAAAATTTTAGTACAAGTTCCCTCTGTTATATGTTATCAATAATATAGATACCAACCGAACATAAACGATGAGGATTGTCATGCTGCCCACAAGTGTAAACACTGATTTAATTTTAATTCCGTATATAAATACATGGGGTACATATTCTGGCTCTTTGTCTACAAATCTCGACGATAATATAGATTGCTATTCAGTTGTTCGTTGAACTGAATCCTTCTCTTTTCTGAATCGTTAGAGAGGAGAATAATTACTCAGTTATTCAGTTATATAAATCCTTAGTCTAATAACGTCACAGTCGATTCCCTAATCTATTAGTTCATTACAATAATTAGTCTCTTTCATCTAAATTAAAAAAATTAACACCCATTTATTGCACTCCTCGTTTATAATTTCATTTCATGCAAAAAAGGAAAAGGTTGAGCTCTATAAAAGTAGGTACGCGACAAGAGAATGAGAATGAGAAAGGTTCTTTAAGGAACTCGTTGATGGTTGAACAAATTGGTTGGAGAAAATAAAGAAAACGAGAATGAATATTCAAGTGTGAAAAAAAATAAATAATCTTTTTTGACAAAAGAACGCTTCTATTAATAATGGAAAAAATATAAAGAGTCCAGAGAAACAAAAGCAACCGAACAGTAACAAATATATAATCAAGTCTCAGCTAGAAATATATGCTTTCAATTTTATTAATCAATTAACACAATCGATGTATAATTGAACGACAAATTAAAACAAACATATATAAGAACATATGCGGTATATGATATGGGAGGCAAAAGCCCACTCCATATATACGAGCACATATATATATATATATAAAGTGCAATAATGACTCCAAACACAACTTTATAGCCTTCAAGTTAATTAAAATTACTGACTGTAACTGGGAAATTAGAATTGAAGAAAGAGAGATACGAATTAGGTGAATGAATAATGAAAGGATCAAGCAAGCTAAGCAAGAAGACGAGGAAGATATGTTTGAAGAACTTGATTAATCAGTATTCTGTATACTCCTTCTGTGGGATGATAACTGTCCCAAAACACATAATTGGAGACATCGGGACACGTGGGAGCCAGACGGTTGCACAACACGGCAACCTCAATACTACCAGTACCACAACAGCCCTTATCCACAACTCTATAGCCTGCAAGTTAATTAAATTAGTTGACGGAATAAATGATGATTGTTTAGTCTAATTAAATGATGACTAATTAATTAAGGGAGCAGTGTTAGGATATAATACCGTATTTTTGGTAGTTGAGGATGATATCGAGGAGAGAGTCGTAGACATTAACGAAAATGATTCTGGAGTTAGGCAAAGTGCGAGTGAAAGCATCGATCTGGTTGCTGAGTTTGGAGTTAAATAACCTGGCAGCTACGTTGTACTTATCGGCACACTGTCTTACAATCCCACCCGCCAGTGTTCTCTGCGATGGCACGCATCCGATTGGTGGTGCGCTCAGCACTGCGATCCTCCTTGCCCCAAGCTCATATATTTGCTTCATTTTAAATTTGTTTTCCACATTTCAAAACTCAATCAGTATATGCTTATGGATATATTGCCAGTATTTCCAAATAGAGATTTTTCAAATATGTAATTTTCTTTCAATATTACGCATAATCATATAAATTTGAGAAATCACTAAGAAATTTTAAGGGAAAAAATGTAATCACCAAGAAATTCTGCTATAAGTAATTGAGTATGGATATATTATTATTTCTTACTCTAGCTCTAGAATTTGTTATTACTGCATTTTAGCTATTACATTCATTTCTTGTGATCTCATAGTGATTGCCCATGAAATTGCACACAAATGTTTTCAAAATAATAAAAGTATATAGAATGGAATTACGAGTGGGGGGAAATACGAGTGATGAGATGGGTGTTTAGAATGAAATTGAGCTAATAATTAACTACGCATGCCAATATTTCGAAGGATACACTTGTTTGGGAATTGGGATACATGATTGAAATCATTATATATAGAATATTAAAATTAAAAATTAAAACTTTTTGGACACATTTAATTAGATTTTGAATTCTTCATACCTGTCGAAATGGAACGAGTTTCGGTACTCATCACTTTGATGAATACTATAAGCTCATCAGATCTGAACTGTGTATATCTTATTTGGATGATCCAAATTTAAAATCTTTAATTAATTATTTTTAAATAAAAAACTATTTTTTTTAAAAAAATGATAGTTAAGAAATTAACATTAATTTAGATTCTATACATATTAAAATAATTATTTTAAATTAAGAAAAAATTAAATATGCACTATCTAAATAAGATATAAATGATTTAAATCTAATATGCTCATGGTGCTTATAAACTGGTTCCGAATTTATACCCAGTGAAATATTGATTTGAGTGGATGTTGACAGTACAAATGAATTCAAATATTCAGAGGTGATAAAAGATTTGTCTGAACTCTAAATTAAAGTAGGGAAAGTGACACAATATGGCGTATAAGAGAACCAATTTATCTATTTAACTCGGAAGACATTTCAGATCTTATGACGATTTAGGATCCAAATGAAGATAATAAGGATGTGTTTGGGGGAAGAAGATCGAAGGGAAAAGAACGAAGAAGTACCTTCAAGAAATTAGTGGCTCCGTTAACCATAAGATCAGTGTAAGAAGGAATGTCATACTGAAGTTGTCTGACGCGTGCAATGAAGTAAGTGTTGGCTATGTCGTCGCTTCCTGCTACCACCACATACAGGCTATTCGCCACTATGTGCTTTGTTCTCTCCTCTCCCACCACTCCTTTTAGCTTCTCTATGTATTCCTTGAACATCTCTACTTGATCCGACATTGGTATCACTGACTGCTCATTTCACAAAATTCTTCATTCATTAGCTACGGAAACCAAATAATAGTAAAAAAGGCTGTGATTTGGAGCTCAGAAATTAATTTCATAGGCATTTTGTTTGATATATGTAGTCATACCGCTATTTTGGGTGTCAAAGGATCATAGCCTGAGGCACCAGAGGCAAAGCAGACCCCAGTTGGAAGATCACTAGGCTTCAGGTTTGGATCCAAATATGCAGGCAGATACTCCTTAATCCCTAGTTCTTCAACTGTCCCCTCATGCAAGTCATTCCAATTCATCACAAATCAGTCTCTCTCATATGTGTTATAAAATTTTCACAGTGGATACGCGCGCGCGCGCACACACATCAGCTTTTACGAGTCTAAAATTAGTAAGTTAGTTGGGAAAATATCAGAATGGACAGTATTAATGTATTATTTGACCATTATATTATGTCTCAAGATCGGAATGAAATCCTTTAGTTTGCACATGTACAGCGCGTCAAGTTGTTTCATCTGAAAGATTAAGTTGATGAGATCTATCTCTCAGAAAAACAAAGCAACGCAGAGAGATTAGAGAGACAGTATACCTAATAGGTCAGAAGGAACCTTGCCGTTGCAAAATCGGCCGGTGGGCATGCCTCCCTGAAAATCTTTACCGTAAGGAGGGAAATTGGCCTTGACGAGAGTTTTAATGTTGTTGTTATTGCCGGTGTCCAATATTGAATCTCCAAACGCTATCACCGCCGGCGGAGCTGTCGTATTCGGTGGCAGTTTCGCCAGTCCGTTGGTTTTCCAGAAAGCACCCAACAACAACATCAAACGCAGCACTGTGTTCCACCAACATGGCAACCCTCTCAACATTTCCATACCTAGCCACCTCTTTACGTTAGAGAGTAATATCCCTTTTCTGGAACGCTTCTGCGAGAGCTTTGTATTTCTACACTATTTTATACACCCTCTTCCCTTAGTCATTTATTTAATATCTGCTATGGACAGCTAACTGCATCGAAACCCATTGATTACAATTATGCACTTTTACCCATATGGTTAACTTTTCTTGGGATTTATATGACACATGTACGTAAAAGTATTAAAACAGAAATATGTGTCTTATATATTGAAAGATGCAAGTATAGCGGATTATTATATATAGATCCAAAGATTAAGCACTCTTGCAGCAGGTAGCTTAATTTGCAAATGAAATTCTGAGGGTAGTAAATAAGAAATATGATGTTAGTTGGAGGATCACATAGAGCCATGAATATGATAGTGCAAATTCTGTTGCCTCTGGGATCTATATATCAACCCCGAAAACCTGCTTTGATTTCTCTCTCATCAAAGGAAGGCGTTAGATCAGTCATCAGTGGATCTTAACCATGTGCCAATATACGTGAATGATCTGTGTGGATATAATTGTTCAAGTGTCGTACTCTACGAACCCTGACATGTCCATTAAGATAGCGCAGGTCTTGAAGTACATAGCCAGGCTTGATCACCGTTGGAACAAGAAACAGCGCAAGAAAAATGAGAATTAAGTAAAATAAGTAATAATTAATTAACTCTACCTCTCTCTCTCTCTATTGAAAAGTAAAATATAAATGGGGGGTCTAATTTGATCATCACGGATGGTTTGTGAAATCTAATCTAACCCTAGCTTTTCTTTTTTTGTCAAGATATAATTTAAGGGTGGGACGTGCCTGTTGTTTTCACTACAGATACATGACCCTATCCGTCAACGTCTGGCATGGGGCAGCGTTGAGCCCGCAGGTACCCAAAATCAAAACAAACATGGAAATGGCGGTGGCTTATTGCGCCAGATGGAAGGCGCACAGGATCACAAACTCTAATAGGCTAGAAACCAGAAATGAAGAAATATTTCGTCTTCCGAAAATGACCACTACTTTCTCTGCTACCATATTAATTCATGCTTATTATGTGTTCATTAATTTAGATATTTCAAATTCATCCTATGTGCTAATATTTCAAGCTCTATTTTTGCATTATTTATTCATTTTTTTCCTTTACCTCTCTCGAAATGTATTACACGCACAAAAGATCTCTAGATATTTTGAAAATTTTAAGAATTTGAAGATAGAATTGAAACGAGTTGAAGAGAAAAATGGGTTCTGAATACTTATCTCTTTTTTTGTAACTCTCTTTTCACACTCCGCAAGTATGATAATATATAATCAAAATAAGAGTGGGAAACGCCTAGATGATGCAGTGAGAGAATATTTGAAAGTTTACAGTGCTGGAACATAACCTAATCAATAGCACCAAATACTGTACACATGTTTATGACCAAAAGGGGAAAGAATTGACAACGAAGAACTCTAGATCTGAAACATGTTACATATATGTGTGTGTATCAAATGGGTACGGTGTTAATGGAAAGTGTCAAAGTGATGATGTTATATGAAAAGGCACTATGATACGTAAGAGCATTATTTATCAAGAGAATGCTATGAGTCCCGTACCACGGAACATCATAAGTATTGTAAGGTTTATCCACTAGACTAGTATTTGGGAAAATGACATTGAGGTCTCACAGAACCAAAAATACAACAAAAAGGTCCTCTGAAATCCCATAATTTTTCTAAAGTCCCAAAGAGACTTAGATGCAATTTTCAGAATCTGGAAATTACCCTCTTGCCCTGGCCCTGTTATCAGAAAAAGAGACGGGAGAAGTTCATTTGGTGAGGATTTCCCGCGCAAAATTATCATGGAGAAGCTTCTGTAAATGCGAGGATTTCCATGGGTGAAGAAGATGTTAAAGCTTCTATAAATGCTAGGAATATGACAAATTTTCAGGTGTGGAACTTTCTTTTCTCTCCTCTTCTACCTTTCTTGACAGATTGTGCATTTGTTTGGGAATGAGAAATGAAAAAATCGTTTTTGCCTTTGGTATTTCAAAGTTTTTGTTTTTGGTTTAAGATTCAGAAGTTAATGAATGGAAAAGCTGTGTTTTTGGTTGGTGTGTGTTGTGATTTAAGTTGGGTGTGTAGAATGATAATGGGTGCTTTGTTTTTGGGTTGTTTTTGGGTGGTTTTCCTCTGTTCTGACGTTAGTTTAGTGGCAAAGGAAGAAAAAGATGAAGGTTAGTGAGGGTAGAAACCCTTAGCATGAAATGGGATTGTGTTGTCAATCAGGCCGCGATAGTTGTCAACGCGTGCCGTGATAGTTGTCAATATAGCTCCTTAAGTTGTCAATGACAGTTGCGTGCTTCTTGATGCAGGTTTAAGTTACTGATGGCGAGTACGTCTGGAAAACATCTATTTTGCTTTGTTCACATAGGGGGAAAGTTTATAAATGATGGAGAAGATGATATGAGATATATGGGAGGTAGTGTAAGAACAACAAATATAAAAGAGGACACAAGTTATAAAGAATTGAAGGAGATTATATCATTAATTACTGGAAAAGAAACCAACTCATTTCTTTTAAAATTCTCAGATGTGTTTGATAAAAAAACTTTTGTGGAGTTGGTAGATGATGATGGGGTAGAACATTTGATAAAGTTCAATGAAGAAAGTGGTCATGTGTATGTAGAAGAGACTAGAAACAAGGACCACACAAAAGCAACAAAGGATAATACAATGGAGGAGCAAGATGTGTAAGTTTAGTTTAACAAATCTGTTATTGCCATTTCTTGGTATGTCAGTTGTTACTGTCTTACTATCAACTTGTCAATGCATGCACCCTGACTTGTTATTTCCTGCAGGATTGATCAATCATTTGGAGGTGTCAATGAATTGTCTATGTCTCCACCTACCTCATTTGATGTGATTGGAGAGCTATCATCAATTCCTTGTGCTGTTGAAATGATCCCAACACCTACACTACAAATGAATTCCACAAAATGGAAGGATTTGATTATTGGAGAAGGACAAATATTTCCAAATGCCACTCCTCTCCGAGAAACATTGTACAAGTACAGCCTATCCCAGAAGTTTTCATACCTTTTTATTAAGAATAATCAGCGAAAGATCATTGTGAAGTGTAAGGTTGATGGTTGTCCATGGTATATGGGTGCATATTCAATGGGAGCACATCAAGATACTGAGTTTTTAACTATCAGAACATATAAAAGTGAACACATTCATCATGCACAGGACAACTTAATTGTTTCTTACTCAGGAAGGTCAAATTTAGCTGCTTCAATTGTGATTGATGACTTGAGGTGCAATGTTGACAAGAGTCCTAATGAAATTAGAAAGGACTTGTATAAAGAATATGGAGTGCAATTGAACTATACTCAAGCATATAGGGTCAGGAAGAGAGCACTAACAGAATTACACGGTCGAGTAGAAGATTCTTATAAGGTAATCCCTTGGATGTGTGAGAGATTAATGGAAACTGATCCTGATACAGTTGCAAGATGGGAAGGCTCAGATAGCAACCGATTTGAGAGGCTTTTCATTACACATGGATGCTCAATTAAAGGCTTTGTGTAAGGTTGCAGACCAATTATTTATATAGATGGATGTCATTTGAGTGGTCCTTACAAAGGAACTTTATTATTTGCTTGTGCATTTGATGCAGACAATGAGTTGTTTCCCTTAGCATATGGTATTGTTAGCGAAGAAACAAATGATGAGTGGACTTGGTTTCTACAGAATCTGAAGGAGATAACCAGATCAGCATAAGTGACAATTGTCTCAGATCGGAGTAATGCTATCATCGGTGCTGTTAGGACAGTATTTGATGGTGAGAGACATGCTTTTTGCTATCGACATGTGAAAGAAAATTATAGTGCGCAGTATGTGAAAATCAATAGAGGTGTGAGACGAACCTCAGAAAATAACAAGGAGAATGCACTTAATTTACTTGATGGAATCGCATATGCAAAGCATGACAATGAGTTTAATGTTACAATGGGAAATTTAAGATTGTTTTGTCCACAATTGGCACAATGGGTTGAATCTCATGGGGATGTAGATAGATGGACGCAAAGTAAATTTCCTTTTAAGAGATGGGATAACATCACCAATAATCTTGCTGAGTCTTTTAATGCATGGATGTTGAAAGAAAGGAAGCATGCCTTGCTGGTTTTGATACAAGAGCATCAAGAGAAGTTGGCCAAGAAGATGGTTGCTAGCAAAATGGGGATGAGAAGCTGGAAAAATGATATAGGACCTAATATTGAATCAAAGTTGTCGGAACAAATAGTAAGAGGTGCGTATATGGAGGCAACATATTATGGTGATGACCATATTTCGGTGCAAACAATGCATGAGGGACGCATAATCTATGTGACTGTTGATCTTATTTCTCACAGATGCACATGTTTGGCATGGCAAATGAATGGAATACCTTGTCCACATGCGTGTGCGGCAATCAAGCTAGTTAACCGTAGAGTGTATGATTATATAGATGACTGTTATAAATTGTCCACACAGGAGAAAATATATGAAAATAGCATGAGGCCAATTGCAACGCATGATTGCCCATAGCCGGATGCACCTACTGTGACTCATATGCTGACTCAAACATTCTTGCATCCACCCATAACTAGAAGGCCTCCAGGAAGGCCAATGATTAATAGAATAGAATCTCAATTCCAAAATAAGAAGGTTTATCATTGTGGAAGATGCAAAGAGCCTGGACACACTGCCAAGACATGCAAGAACCCAAATCCCAGCTGAGAACATAATGAAATCAGCTATTTTTGTATATGAATGTGAAGGGAATATTTTGTAAATTGGTGTGAAGGGAATTTTTTGTAAATGGATACACACCAATAGTTAGTTTCTCGTAATTACATGCAACCCCTGTGTTTTTTTGGGATGGGTTGTGAAATAGGTGTAGTTTCATGTATATGAAGGTGTAAATGAAAGTTGACTATAAATTGGCATGTTAGATTCTGTTGTTATTTAAGTTGTCATTACCTGCACCCTGTATTGTCATTAGACCTGTTATGAC